AATTGTTTCTCAGGAAATTCTTGTTTTTTTCTGTATCGAGAAGCATTGAGTTCCACAGGTCGAGAATGTGTACTGTAAATATGTTTTAATCGCTTTTAACATGTTATACTAGTTACTGATAGCCACAATTGATAGGAAACTAAGATGTTGACACAATTACTGAAAAAATATGATGAGTTGTAGGTTTTGGGTAAGGTAAAATTTAATGACTCTCAATTAAAAGGGATTTTTTTCTTTTAAATCAACAGAAAACAAACACTTTTGGCAGGATCTTTCTACAGTCACTTACTGCAACTCTGGTTAAAAGAGTTTGTTAAATGAAAAAGTATCCTAAATCTTTTCCCTTCACTTTCAGTTTCAGAATTGCTGTTCTTTTATTAAGAAAACTCCTGTTTGTGAATAATTTCTGAAAATGATGTTGTGACAAACTTGGATTCTTTTGCAATATTTTAATGAAGCCTATGCATGCCTAAATTTCCTGCTGTACTTAGCATTTATCCAGTGGATGCAAAAGGGTTTTGGAACAGAGTACAATATATGAGATGTCTGTCTTCCTGCAGTCTTAGTTGGGTTAAATGAATGGATCCTTAAAAAATTGGTTGAAACTGACTCATGCCAACAAAGGGTTCAGAAAGACTAGGAAATCGGGACCAAGCAGAAAGTCAGGACTCAGGCATGTAGGAAAGATACACATGAGCAGACAGCCAGGAATTCATCTAGTTCAGTGGTCTCCAACCTTTTTACACCCAAGATCACTTTTTAAATGACAGACCAAGCCAAGATCTACCGCCCTGCCCCTTCCTTGAAGCCCCGCCCCCTCTATTCTCCTCTTTTCCATCACTTGCTATCCCCAATCCTTATACTGCTACTTTAAAAAAAAATTCCCACAATTCCTCGCAGCTACTCACCTGTGCTGTTGCTCGGTGAGTAGCTGCTCCTCAAATGAGGAAATCTAATGTAAATGTACTGCGGAGGAGTGCAGTTCAGAGAGGGCTCAAGAGCTACTCTTAGAGCCTCCGAGATCTACTGGTAGATCGCAATCTACTGGTTGGTGACCACGGATCTAGTTGTTCTGACAACTTCCTGTGTCTCTTTGTGGTTTAGGTAGCTAGAGTATCCCATCCAAGTAAGGTGGATATCTCCCGAAGCTTTGTGGGTAGGAACCTTTGCAATCTAGAGCTTCATTGGCTCCTTTTCTACTGAGTGAGGTGAGCTGGCAGTTGGTAGCCTTTGTGTGAGGACTGTGTAAGGAAACCTGGGCCCAAATTCAATAACTTTGACTGATCACATCGATTTCTAAGACCATGTTAAATAAAGCATAATGTCTTATAATAACACTTTGTGATATATCCTATTATAAAAGCAAATTATAGAGGAAGCATTGGGTATGCCTGGTGCATTCTTCTTCCTATGTTTATAACATTGGTCAGGGACCACTCTGTAGATCAGAAATATAGGGCTGAAAGATAAGGCTGGATATAAATATTGTTGTGCATTGAAGTAAGAAAAGCCACACAACCCGGTCAAAAGCCTTCTGAGCATTAGAGAGAATGTAAGCATTGCTTGACATTTTGCTGTCCAGTGGTTATCAGAAAAGCTGCTTCCCTTCAAACATACATACGTATATAGGTATATTTATTTGTATATTGATTTTTCCATTCTAATAGTATGTATCAAACTGTTCTGCAGTGGCCTCACTTTAGTTATTAGAAAACAGGGCACCAAATGTAAACTGAATTCTGTACTTATATTTATCTGACTGGCTATCACGTGTAAACTCCTCAGGCACTATAACAACCTTGATTTGGAGTCACAAAGAGCCTAATCTGTCTTTCCACCCAGGGAAACTTACATTTGGGATACGTTGTTCCTCACACCAAAGATTCTTAGGTTACTTCCAGTCCCAAGGAATCACTCACTGACTGCAGGTCAATTGCATCTTAGATTTCATATAAAAACATTATTTGTAGGCAATCGTATAATAAACTATGTAAAGATGTATTATGAAAAGTAAATAAGAGCATTGTTTTCAAGGTTAAAACAGGTAATCACATATACAGACAAATGAGTTCCAAGTTTAAATTTCAAACAAATAATAGAAGCTTCTGTAATGAGCAAATTCTGTAGGTCCTTTAGGGATAACCTGGGCTAAGCACTGAGGATCTTTTCTTCATCCTTAAATCTCTAAGTCAAAGCGGCATAAAGATACAGTTCCTTTTTGTTAGTTTTTTAAAATCTCTTCTCTTCTTCTGCTTGAAGTGCAAACTTAGCAGATGGGAGGAATTCACTTTCATCTTTTCTCTTCATTGGTGGGAAAAGGAGGAGAGGGAAGGATGGCAAGCCAGGGTAGAGTACAACAATTAACACCATGTTTTCTTCTCTGATGTTGAATGATAGTTCAGCTGGTTTCCAAGGGCTTTTTTTCCCCCCTCAAGTGGGAAATCTGTAACCTTCTAATAGAAACTACTCCTTCACTCCAGTTAATGCTTTTTCATGTCTTGTGGCTTATAGTTATCGAGGCTTACAATGCAAATGCTCAAATATTATCTTACAGTATGGGTTAGTGAGGTTTAAAGTGGGATTAATTCATACAGGAAGGTACAAGTATTAAATTAAGTCTAAACAAGAAGCACATTATTATAATCCTAATATCTAGTGTAAGAATGCTAACATACAGGTGAGTTTGATTGATTCCAGGTACGTGTTTGTCAGTATTCAGGCAATGCAGAGGTACCTTGGCATAAATCACAGTATAGACAGAGCTATTATGTCAGTGACATTCATCAAGAAGGTGGGAGTTATGATTATTAGATACTGATTTCTCTTTTGTAGGTAGCAAGACCAGCTGTAGCATTTATTAGTTTGATTTTTATTTCATTAATGTTCAGTGGTAGGTATAACCCAGTTAACAGAATTGGGGCTTCTGTTATCACTCGCAATTGTTTAGGGACAATGTCCCAAAAGTGACTTACTGGTAGGCTCTCCCACCTCCTTCATGCATTTTAGTGTATCTTGATATAGACATTTTAAACCCCACCTGTTCCCCCTTGTCTTATTTCTTTCTTCTCTTTCCTTTGATCATACATGTATGTTCAATTTCACCAATGGTAGTTCATTATATTGCTTATTTTAATTCTGCACTTGGGGTTATTGATTTATTTAAAGGATAAATTTGCCTATTTACAAAGTTTGTAATGATCCTTCTATATCTGTGACCTGGCTTCTTAGAATCCTGGAGATTTTCCTTTCGTCAAGTCAATATGTCCAGGGACTTTGTGTCATCTCCTGATTTTTGAAATAAGGAAACATTGGAAATTACCCAATGAGGAAGACAATGTGTGCTAAGCTCTGGGCAAACAAATCATTAATGACAGACCTTGTCACAGAGAGCTTGCAATACAAAATGGAGTTTCCAGTCTGAAAGGTTAAGTCCTCTAAGAGTTAATAATAATAACCCTTTGCAATTTCATAAACAGGATTAAATACATACTTTTACATTTGCTGTGTGTACTGACTTAGCATATATGGGTTAGACTCCATTCTTCTGGCAAGGTGAAGGTTCTGTTCCCTCTCCTAAAAATGTAAACAAGTTTCCTTCAATAGTTTTTGGCTGGTGGATTTTCTGGGTCTTTTTAGATCATTGGCAGCACTTGTAGCCTTTATAGAGATTTAATTCAAAAGGGAGGCCGTAGGAGCAAGTTATTGCCTCTCTCCATTTCTGGTAAATGCATTAAACGTGGGTAGAGTTTCTGGCTCTGTCTTCTATGTCATCTGTTTGATACACACTTTCAAATAATTATCCTGGCTCTGGGTGAGCCTTGTTCTCATTGTGCAGCTTTTCTGGATTTGAACTTTCAAAACAATAAAGTCAAGTGAGCTCCCATTAGCATCTCCTGGTAGGACTTTGTGCCCTGTCCTGGATTTCAGAACAACTGAATGAGCACCAACTAGATCCAAAAGTTTCATATTTCCAGTATGCAACACATTAAGAATAGTAATGAGTATGTAGCGGAGGCCTGGGTGAGGAGTTGTAACCGGTGGACTCTGAATGGAGAAGATCTGATCTGCCAGGCCATCATGGTTTTTCCTGCTGGTTTTACACTCAGGCGAGCTCTGGAGGCCCTTTGGTTCACTTTCGATGGGCACTGCTGGTGGAGTGTAGCTCTAGAGGTGTAGTGATCGGTCACAATATAGGGTCACCTGATCTCTACCTGATAATTGCTGTTTAAACACAGAAAGAGACTCCATAAAATGTCTATTATGTGTAAGCCTGTAATGGTAAGAGAATATTTATTGTGAAATGAATCAGTTTACAAAATAAAATGAGCAGACAGTAAGGGAAAAGGGGGGAAACTCTTTGTGTTGTCACTTTTACTTCACTAACAATTATTGTCACAATGCCTGACTTGCATATAACTGTAGTTAGCAGGCCTACCATAGCTCACTGTGTCTGGGTGGTGCCATTCTGTAGTAGGGATAAACCTGTAAAGAGACTCACCAATGTGCTTTCTGAAAGAAGGTGGAAAGTTTCCAAATGAAGGTTCTCTCTTTTCTGAACTCCGCCGAGAATGATGCATTACTTTATCTTTCATGGAATACCTTCCCATCTGTCACTTTCCACATTCACAGAAATATAATACCCATGTCATTCTCTAGCAGCTGGTACTGTGACTTCTTTTCAAAAGACAAAACAAGGATGAGAGATCATGAATTTAAATTCTAACTTGGCTGGCACTAGCTCAATGAGACTACAAGAACCTCAACCTGAGGACTGCAAAAATATTAGATCGCACATTCTACAGCCTTCAGAATTGCCATTGCTCCAGACTTACAATGTTTATTTTGTCATTTGATGCGAAGTTCCGATGACAGGACAACTTACAACAGTAGCTCATAGTGCTTGACAGCAATAATTAAGAACATTTGAACAAAAGAGCCCTTATCCCAAAAGTACATTTAACCAAAAGAGTCATTATCCCATAAGGGTAAAAAGGAAAAAAGACTCAGGAGCCCTAAAACCAAGATTTAACAGTGTCTCCGGAGGGAAGAAAGTTCCTACAGAGGCAATAGAAGGACCATAAATAGCTAGTAGCCGACTTTGTATTTCCGTCGCTAGGTGTCGCTGTTGACTGAAAATAGGTTTCCCTGCGAAAGGAAAAACCCAGCTCCTCCTCCCGTCCCACATTTACATCGGAGGAAATCAGGACCCACCCGCACTGCCTGACGCAGGGCTCCAAATACAAAGACTTGGAAGCAGAGTCTGTTCTGCATATTTATTTTCGGCCAAAACCTGGGATTTTATTGGTCAGCTGGCTCAGTTCGGATCGCATCCGCCATGGCCCTTCTGCGGCGAGAGGCGCTGGGCGCGGGGCAGCTGCTGCGCTGGGTTCTGCTCCAGGCGGCCTGGGCGGCGGGCGGCGGCCAGCTCCATTATTCCGTGCCGGAGGAAGCCGAGCCCGGCACGCTCGTGGGCCGCCTGGCCCAGGACGTGGGTCTGGAGGTGGCGGAGCTGGTGTCTCGGCGGTTGCGGGCGGTGGCCAAGGGCGGCAGAGACTGTTTCGAGGTAAATGCGCAGAGCGGCGCGTTGCTGGTGAAGTCGCGGCTGGACCGGGAAGAGCTGTGCGGGCCGAGCCCCCGGTGCGCCCTGGACCTGGAGGTGCTAGTGGACAAACCGCTGCGGCTGTTCCCCGTGGAGGTGGAGATACGGGACATCAATGACAACGCCCCTGTTTTTTCCTCAAACCAACAACATCTCAGTATTGCGGAATCACTGACGCTTCCAGACTCGCGGTTCCCTCTAGAGGGCGCGTCCGACGCAGATATTGGCACAAACTCGCTGCTCACCTACACACTGAGCCCCAGTGACTATTTCAGCCTCGACTTGCAAAAGAAAAACGAGAAAACCAAATCTGTTGAGCTCGTGTTAAGGAAGCCTCTTGATAGGGAAGAAACCCCTGAGCACCGTTTACTGCTCACGGCCACCGACGGGGGCAAACCGGAGCTGACGGGCACAGCGCAGCTGGTGATCTCGGTGCTGGACGTCAATGACAACGCGCCGGTGTTTTCTCAAGCCGTGTATGAGGTCAGTTTACTGGAAAACACAACACTTGGGACGCTAGTCATCAAACTCAACGCCTCCGATTTGGATGAGGGGATTAATAAAGATATTGCTTATTCCTTTAGTGCTCTTGCTGGTCCCGAAATTACAGACGTGTTCAGTATCGATTCTCATACCGGGGAAATTAGAATCAAAAGAGAATTGGATTTTGAAGATACTAATTTATATGAAATTCAAATCGAAGCCATTGACAAAGGAACCCCACCTATGGTCGGACACTGCAAAGTGCTGGTGGAAGTGCTGGACGTGAACGACCACGCCCCCGAGCTGGCGGTGACTTCCCTGTCGCTGCCGGTGCCGGAGGACGCCCCCCCGGGGACAGTGGTGGCTCTCCTGAGCGTCTCGGACCGGGACTCGGGAGACAACGGCAAAGTCAGCTGCTCCATCGGGCCGGGCCTGCCCTTCCGCCTCGTGTCCACCTTTAAGAATTACCACTCGCTGGTGGTGGCGGAGGCGCTGGATCGGGAGCGCGTGGCTGAATACGAGGTCGTGGTGCGGGCCAGGGACCAAGGGGCCCCGCCTCTGTGGGCCAGCAGGCGGCTGGTGGTGCCGCTGTCGGACGTGAACGACAACGCGCCCGCGTTCCCGCAGGCCGTGTACACGGTGTTCGTGCGGGAGAACAACCCGGCCGGGGCCCCTGTGCTGAGCGTGTCGGCCTGGGACCCGGACTTGGGGGCGAACGGGCGGGTGAGCTACTGGGCGGTGGAGAGGCGCGTGGGCGAGCGGCCCCTGTCCAGCTACATCTCGGTGCACTCGGAGAGCGGGCAGGTGTCCGCCCTGCAGCCCCTGGACTACGAGGAGCTGCAGGTGCTGCAGTTCGAGGTGAGCGCGAGGGACGCGGGGCTGCCGGCCTTGTGCGGGAACGTGAGCGTGCAGCTCTTCGTGCTGGATGCCAATGACAACGCGCCCGTGGTGTCCCCGCCTGGGTCCGGGCGCGGCGCGCTGGGGCCCGAGCTGGTGCCGCTGTCGGCCGGCGCCGGGCACGTGGTGGGCAAGGTGCGAGCGGTGGACGCGGATTCCGGCTACAACGCCTGGCTGCGCTACGAGCTGCAGGAGCCGCGGGCGGCGGGGCCTTTCCGCGTGGGTGTGTACAGCGGGGAGATCAGCACGGCGCGGGCCTTGGAGGAGGCGGACGGCCCCAGCCGGAGCCTGGTGATCGTGGTGCGGGACCACGGGGAGCCGGCGCTGTCCGCGACCGCCACCGTGAGCCTGTCGCTGTCGGAGCGTGCCCAGGCGGTGGCCTGGGAGTCGGGGCCGCCGCGTGCGGGGAGCGCAGGGCCGGCGGGCGCCATGAACGTGTCTCTGATGATCGCCATTTGCTCGGTGTCCGGGCTGTTCGTGCTGGTGATTGTCCTGTACGTCGGGCTGCGCTGCCCGGGGGCCCCGGAAGTGACGTGCGGGCCCGGGAAAGGCCCGGGGGCGGGGGCGAGCGCGAGCGAAGCGGGGAGTTGGTCCTATTCGCAGCGCCAGAGCCGGCTGGTGTGTGTCGGGGAAGGCACCGTCCGGAGCGACCTGATGGTTTTCAGCCCCGTCTGCCCGAGCTCCGCGGAGAACGGGGAGGCAGGGAAGGGGCAGGGACTGACGCCAAATGCATCTGGCCAGGTGAGTTTCATCGGTTTGATTTCTGGTGTTGTGCCTTTCAAGAGATGTGAATTCGTTAATGTGTTTTGAGACAATTAGTATGAAGAAGTTACATTCAGTTGTGTTCCGTTATAGGCCACTTTCCCGCTGCTTTAGATAGAGGAGGGTAGGTTCTGTATTATTAATGGGATTGAAGATTATTTGAAGAGTATGAAATACTAATAAAACTTGGCGTGCACTAGAGTAGTTGTCCTTTCCTCCTCCGCCACCGGTGACCAGTACGAGATAGTTCTGAGGAAGGATCAGGGATTTCCATAATGGGCAATTGCTGGAAATCCTGGCCTGGAAGTGTGGCCCGTGGCAGCTACGTGTTAGTTCATGTCATGAAAGTGTCGGTGTTTATAGCTCTTAGTGGAGTTTCGGTCTTTCTAAACTAACTGAAATTTTTAATTTTCTAGATACACCTTGATATTTTATTGTTTCCTCGAGAAATTCTTGGTCTTTTGCGTGTCTAGAGGCATTGAGTTCCACAGCTCGATAGTATACTGTGTAAATAAGGTTTTTTTTAGTCACTTTTAAATTGGTATACTAGTTACTGTTAATCTCAATTGATAGGAAACTGAGATGTTGACACAGATACTGAAAAAATATGATGAGCGGTAGAGATTTGTGATTGATGATTGTATCTTTGAAGAAGCAGTAAGAATTATAACAGCGATTATTGTTATGAAGTTATCTTCCACTGTATAATATAAGCAACAGCGTAATTTTTAATTTCTGCATAGAGGTCAAATTGTGGAACAGGTTTAGAGTGCCAAACAACTTCATCAGAGAAATGTTAAGGGAAGAAATAGCTTTCAATGACAGTTTCTTGTTCGTAAAACAATAAGTTGTCCTGTGGCACTGTAGAGACCAACAAATAAATATATAGTATCTCGAGCTTTTGTGGGCAACACCCACTTTTTAGATAAGATTATTTTGTGTTTCTTGTCTTGTTTGGAAGTGGGAGTAGATGATGTAACCAGACCAAATGTGAGCCATACACTGGCTGACTTTCACACAACTATTGACCTTTAAAATATTGTGATGTAGGAGTCAATGATTATTTTGGAGGTGTCATTTATTTCAGAAAGATTAACTATTGTGTCGTTGTATTTGAAGGAATTCAAATGCTTTCAGAGATTAGGATTATGCTCTGAATTGTGCAGGAGTCATTTCCCTTGGTAATTGGTACAAAATGGTCACAGTAATGGTCCTGATCTTCTTTCTAAAATCAATTGAGTCATAAAGTGAAAGAAAATGGAATGTGAAAGAAATATTTATTTGAATATTAATTTGCAGAGGAGGTTGCAAGTGGTAGTAATATGAAGATTATGAAGCTGCAATTAAGTATAGAGTGTCATTTAGAAACTTTATGGGATTTTGGTGCTCAGAAAAGAGAAAGGAAAATGTTAGGAAAGATAGCTGTGATTTTATCAATGAAAGGAAAAATGTACCTTTTTTCTTATTCCTTCTTTCCAGGGTAGATATTAAAAACACATTTTTGTTAAGAGAACATTCATATTTAATCTTATATAGATGCTATTGGTAAACATTTATTTTAAAAGTACCACTAAGGCATTGAGGTCAAGATGAGAACACTGCTAGATTTTGGGTGAGGTAAAATTTAATGCCCCTAAAGTAAAAGGGATTTTTTCTTTTAAATTCTCAGAAAACAAACACTTTTGGAAGGGTCTGTGTAACAGGTTCCACCCTTCGTGTGAACGCCCCTTGGTGGCTGGGGGAGGGGTCTCACAGTATTTATTTGCCTGTCTGCGGGCAAGGCAATGTCCAGTCAGTGGATGTAGATCAAGCCTCTTCTCCCCCTCCCTCTGGTGTTGCATGCAGGGCGGTTGGGGGGGACCCAGGCCCACCCACTCCTCTGGGTCCCAGTTCAGGGCCCCGGAAGTAGCAGTTACCTGCTGAGTTTCAGTGTACTTAGTTGCTGTTACATCCCTGGGCCACTTCCCCAGGCTCCTGTTTCATCAGTTCTTCTCTAGGGCTGAGTTCCCCTTGTCTGGGGTTCTGCAGGGTTGTCTTTGGCTTTTTGGCTAGTCTTTAGCTGCAGGATCTGGCTCCGATCAGGTAAGATGCCTAGATCCCACTCAGAGCTGTCCAGAGTGCTGGTGTTCCTGGGTCGGGCTCCAGGGGGGGACTGACAGGCCTTTCCTAGCAGCTCCTTTTATAGTAGCCTGCTGCATCCAGATTGGCTGCAGCGAAGGCTGCCATCTACTCTGCCCGGAGGACCTCTCTACTGCTCCTGTTGCTGGCCAGGGTGCTGAAAGGCCTACAGTAGGGATGTCGGGCTTTGTCCACCTCATCAAAGTCTTTCTACGGTCACTGACTGCAACTCTGGTTCAAAAAAATTTGCTAAATGAAAAAAATCTTTCACTGTCATTGTCAGAATTGCTGTTCTTTTATTAAGAAAACTCCTGTTTGTGAACAATTTCTGAAAATAATGTTGTGACAAACTGGGATACTTGTGTAATATTTTCATGAAGCCTTTTCATGCCTCAGTTTCCGGCTCTAATTAGTATTTACCCAGTGGATGCAAAAGATCTTGGAACAAGGTAGAAGACATGAGGGCTACGTCTAGATTGGCATGATTTTCCAGAAATGCTTTTAACGGAAAAGTTTTCCATTAAAAGCATTTTTGGAACAGAGCGTCTAGATTAGCACGGACGCTTTTCCGCAAAAGCACTTTTTGCAGAAAAACATCCGTGCCAATCTAGACGTGCTTTTGTGCAAAAAAGCCTCGATCGCCATTTTCGCAGTCGGGGCTTTTTTGCGGAAATCAAATCTGAGCTGTCTACACTGGCCCTTTTGCGCAAAAGGGACTTTTGCCTGAATGGGAGAAGAATAGTATTTCCACAAGAAGCACTGATTTCTTACAGTAGGAAATCAGTGCTTTTGCAGAAATTCAAGCGGCCAGTGTAGACAGCTGGCAAGTTTTTCCGGAAAAGCGGCTGATTTTCCAGAAAAACTGGCCAGTCTAGACACAGCCGTGGCGTGTGTCCACCTGCTGTTTTAGTTGTGTTAAATTAATGGGTCCTTAAAAATTGGTTGAAACTGACCCATATTATCAAAGGGTCCAGAAAGACCAGGAAATCAGGACCAGGCAGAGTGTCAGGGCTCAGGCAAGTTGGCAGGCTCCATTGTAGCAGCCAGCCAAGAATTCATCTAGTTGTTTAGACAGCTTCCTGTGTCTGGTTGTGGTTTAGGTAGATATCTACCTTACCTGGAAGGGAATGTCTACCTCACTTAGGAGCTTTGTGGGTAGAAGCCATTGCAAGCCAGAACTTCAATGGCTCCCTTTTCTACTGAGTCTGGTGAGCTGGTGCTTGGTAGCCAGTTGGGAGGACTGTGTAAGAAAATCTGAGCCCAAGTTCAAGAACTGTGACTGATTGCATAGATTTTCATGACCATGTTAAATAAAGCATGATGGCATAATCTTATAACAACACTTTCTGATACATCCTGTTATAAAAACAAATTATAGAGGAGGCATTGGGTGTATCTGGTGCATTCTTCTTTCTATGAATGTAACATTGATCAGGGACCATTCTATAGATCAGAAATATGGTGCAGAAAATTAAGGCTGGATATAAATATTGTTATATATTGAACTAAGAAAAGCCACACAACCCAGTCAAAAGCCTTCTGAGGATGAGAGAGACTGAAAGCATTGCTTGACATTTTGCTGTCCAGTGGTGATCAGAAAATGTACATATGTACATTGCTTTTTCTATTCTAATAGTATGTGTCAAACTGTTCTGCAGTGGCTACCAACCTCATTGTAGTTGTTAGAAAACAGAGCACAGACTGCAAACTGATTCTGTGCTTAGATTTGACTGACCAGTTATCAAGTGTAAACCCCTTAGGCACTATAACAGCCTTAATATGGAGTCACAAACAGCCTAATCCGTCTTTCCACCCAGAGAAACTTACCTGTGGGATACATTGTTCCTTACACCAAAGATTCTTAAGTTACTTCAAGTGCAAAGTGACTCACTGACTGCAGGTCAATTGTAACTTAGATTTCATATCAAAGACAACATTTGTAGCTAATCCTATAATAAACCATGTAAATATTTACTATGAAAAGGAAATAAGAGCCTTGTTTCCAAGGTTAAAGCAGGTAAATACATATACATACAAATGAGTTCCAAGTTTAAATGTCAAACAAAGAATAGAAGTTTCTGTAATGAGCAAATTCTGTATGTCCTTTAGGGCTAACCCAGGCTAAGCACTGGAGATCTTTTGCTCATCCTTGCATCTCCAAGTCCAAGCAGCATTAAGATACAGTTCCTTCTTGTTAGGGTTTTTTTTTTAATCTCTTTTCTTCTTCTTCCTGAAGTGAAAATTTAGCTGATGGGAGAAATTCACTTTCACCTTTTCTTTTCATTGGTGGGAAAAGGGGGAGAGGGTAGCCTGACAAAGCAGAGTAGATAACAACAGTTAACACCATGTTTTGTTCTCTGATGTTCCATAATATTTCAGCTGGTGTCCAAGGGCTTTTTTCCTCAAGTGCGAAATCTTTAACCTCCTAATATAGAATAGTCCTTTACACCAGTTAATGCTTCTTTCATATCTAGTGGATTATAGTTAAAGAGGCTTACATTGCAAATGCTTAAATAATACCTTAGAGAATGGGATAGGGATGTTTAAAGTGGGATTAATTTATGCAGGAAGGTACAAGCATTCAATAAAGTCTAAACAAGAAGCACATGATTATAATCCTAATATCTATCATAATAATGCTAACACACAGGTGACTGACTGATTCCAGCTATGTTTGTCAGTATTCAGACGATGCAGGGGCACCTTGGCATAAATCACAGTGTAGACAGAGGTATTATGTCAGTGACGCTCATCAAAGAAGGTGGGAGTTATGATTATTAGATACTGATTTCTCTTTTGTAGGCAGCAAGACCAGCTGTAGTATTTATTCGTTTGATTTGTATTTCTTTAATATTCAGTGGTAGGTATTGACCCAGTTAACAGAATTGGAGCATCTGTTATCACTCACAATTGTTTAGGGATAATGTCCCAAAAGTGACATTCATTATAGTTCAT